ATAGAAATTCAAGTGGAGAGGGAAAACTCAAGTATTCACACATTTTGTGGTGAATGACAATATACAAGATGAAATTTGGTGTTTAAAATTCAATTAAGCTGCTTATATTGGGAATTTAGTGGAGACGGGTCATTTTGACCCGGAGGACAAAGGGTGTATACAGAAAATGAGGACAACAGGAGGGCCTGTGACGTCAAATTTTTGTAACACACATGAATGCATTTTTATAAAGAGGACATTGATAAAATATTGCAACAGAAATTTCATGTCGCTGAGAAGAACAGTTGTTGAGATATTCAAACATGAAGTAACAGGAAGTGATGTCAAAGGGGAATGTCTGCATGTAAACAGAGCTTTGCTAAAATAACAGACTGTAGAGAAGAATCTGATGTTTCTTAAGATTATTTTGAGTCTCTATCAGAGATATGAAGAATCAGAGTTCAAATATTGTTTCTGTAAACAAAGACCAGAGAGTTCCCCTTTGATGTCACTTCCTGTTTCACTTTGGCTGAGCCAAGTTCAAAAGAAAATATACCAGTTATGGGACAAAATGGGTTAAATTGTTTGTATTATTCCAACTGTTTTCTTTGACTTTTTGTATCTGAAGAATATGCACGTCACAGGCTCTTTAAGGGATGGAGGCAGGAGAATTCACCTTCTGTAAACCTCAGTGTTCTGATCTGAAAGTTTAGTTTTTCTGCTTTTTGATTGTTTATATTTCTGCCAGCAGCTGTAAGACGGAGGAGGCGAAGGACGAGGCCGAAGTCAAAACTAACGGAGGCGAGGATCGAGACGAGAGCAGCAAGGTGAAGACAAAACGTTTCCTGAGACGTCCGTCACCGACCCAAACGTGTCTTATTTCCTGTCGCTCTCCTGACCACATCGATTCTAAAAAGTGTTCTCCTGTTTGGATTAAAGGAGCTGCTGCAGTGATTTAGACCAGGGGTTCTTAACCTTTTTGACCTCAGGGCCCAATTTGTTGAGCGTAAAGTGACACGAGGCCCAGTCACACATTACCATACGGATCAACATGATAATTATTATAAATCTTGGTTTAATTTGTATTGTATTTACGTTTTAACTAAATTAAATATGCTTACAGTTTAAAAGTAAAACTCCTGTCAATTAATCATGATTATGACAAACATTTGTTTAAATTGTAACCTGCCCATAAAAATTATTTAAACAAATACAACGGTCAGTCAACAGACCACTTATCAACATGAAAATATATATATTTTTACATAAACAATAAAAAATAGACAATTCAATATAATGGTCATAAAATAAACACATTCAAAATGTTTCAAATAATTTAAAAAAAACCCTGTAAAAATAAATTTGATAAATTGCAAATGAAAATAAAGCCTTTTTAAAATTTTGCATGGTAGAACCAGAAGCTGCTCTTCTTATTAGTGACAAACAATAACAGTAACAACGGCTTCTTGACAAGTTTAAAGTTTATTTAAAATACATTCAAAATGTTTAACAATAAACTACAAAAATTAATTTGATAAATTGCAAATTAAAATATAGCTGTATCTGCCACTGTATTTGATGATGTTTGAACTTGTAAAATATTTCATGGTAGAGCCAGAAGCTGCACTTTATAGTTTTTTAAAGAGTTAATTTCATTTTTGCTTCTACTTTTAATTAAAAATAAGTTTCCATTCTCAGCAGGTTTCTAAGGTTCTTCTTCTACATATTAAAAAGTTGTTAAACACCTGAGTGGAGCACTACTGTTACTAGTGGTGAGAAAGTGTATTGCACCTTATTCTAAATCGATGCTGTCCACAGCCCAAAGTTAAAAACTGTTGTTCTGTTGAGGCCCTCAAGGTGGCGCTCGCAGCTCATGGGTTAAGAATCTCTGATTTAAAGCTCACTGAACTTGACTGAACTGATTCTAAAAATAATTTTTATTCTTGTTATTTGATTCGGACTCTGGAGTTTTGGCTCTAACCAGCTGCTGGACGGTGTCTCAGTTACGATGTTTTTTCTCCTCAGGGGGAGGAAACCTGCTCTAGCACCGACGCTCCGGAGAAGCCGGACAGTTCTGGTCAACGTGAGTCAGAAAACTGGATCAGAACTCCTGGATGAGGTCAAACGAGGCAAAGACCCAACTGTTTCCTGTCTCTCTGCACAGACCCCCAGGCGTCCGCTGACCTGAGCGCTCAGGACGGGCCGCTGGTCACCACCACCACTGCAACCATGGGAACCGGGGTGGCGTCTCTGCACGTGGTCCAGGCCCGGCCCGTGTGGCCCACCAGCCCGGCCCTGACGGCCCGTTTCCGCCGCCTGATCACCGCCTACCAGCGCTTCACGCTGCGCCGGGAGCCCCTGCTCAGGCACGACTTCCAGCTGCACGACGGCCTGGTCGGCATGGCGGTGGGCGGCGCCGGGAGCGCCCACAGTCACCACGCGGGGGGGCCGCTGGCGTGGCAGCTGGGCGAGGAGCTGAGGAGGTGCTCGGTGGTCTCCACGGAACCGGACCCCCTGTTCCTGGAGTGGCAGAGGAGGTGAGGTTTTTATCTCCAGCTGTGGTCCTGGTGTCGCTCCGAGTCCTGATCCGGGTTTCTCCTGTTCTTAAGGTGGACTCGCCGGGAGCAGGCGGACTTTTACCGCACGGTCTCGTCTTACGGGGTGGTCTACGACCCCGACAGGAAAGCCTTTGACTGGTCCCAGTTCAGAGCGCTGGCCCGACTGGAGAGGAAGACGGACGAGAGTTTGGAAAGATACTTCAACTCGTTTGTCAACATGTGCAGGACGGCGTGCAAACTCCCCCCCAGGAAGGAAGAAGGTCACTTCTCCTGCTTTTGTAATTGTAACTAATCTGAAGGCTTCAGGATTGTAACTAATCTGAAGGCTTCAGGATTATAACTAATCTGAAGGGTTCAGGATTATAACTAATCTGAAGGCTTCACGATTATAACTAATCTGAAGGCTTCAGGATTATAACTAATCTGAAGGCTTCAGGATTATAACTAATCTGAAGGTTTCAGGATTATAATTAATCTGAAGGCTTCAGGATTAACTAATCTGAAGGCTTCAGCATTATAACTAATCTGAAGGCTTCAGGATTGTAACTAATCTGAAGGGTTCAGTTGCAGCTCCTCTGTCTGTGTTTTTACCTGAGTTTTGTCTGCAGGCGTGGTGGGCTTTGTTTTTACCTGAGTTTTGTCTGCAGGCGTGGTGGGCTTTGTTTTTACCTGAGTTTTGTCTGCAGGCTTGGTGGATCCTGGCGTTCTGGTGGAGCCTCTGTCAGAGGAGCGAGCTGCGAGGACTCTGTATCGCATCGAGCTGCTGAGGAAGATCAGAGAGCAGGTGTGGGATTGAAACGCCGTGTCTGTGACGGAGACACCAGACGGATGTGTGACCTTTTGTGTGTCCCTTCAGGTTCTTCGCCATCCCCTCCTGTCGGCCCGCCTCCAGCTGTGCCGCCCCTCCCTCTACCTGCCCGTGTGGTGGGAGAGCGGGAAGCATGACCGCGACCTCCTCATCGGGGCGGCGCGCCACGGCCTGAGCCGCACCGACTTCTACATCCTGAACGACCCGCAGCTCAGCTTCCTGGAGGCCCACAGGAACTACGTCAGGCGCCACCCTGCTCACCTTCATCCTCAGAGTCATCATCACCTGGCGGCGCATCCCGGACTCTCCTCCCCGTCTTCCTCGTCCCCCCACGTGCAGCTTCCTCATCCTCACTGCTGCCTGTACGAGTCAGGACTGGGTCATCACTCCCCGCAGCCTCCCGAGTACCCCCACCACCATCTTCATCATCATCATCATCACCACCAGCAGGTCGCTCCTCCCTCTGCTCCCTCCCCCTCCTCCTCCTCTCACCTCCCCCCTCCCCCGCTGGATGCTCACGACTCCAGCCCAGCTGGTCTGGGTCTGGTTCCCGGGTCGCGGGTGGACTTCCTGGACTGCGCCCCCCTGGATGAGGGTCTGGAGCTGGGCTCGCTGCAGCACGATGCCATGTCTGCGGACCCCCTGCACGGAGGGAAGGCCTCGAAGGACGCCCTGAACGGGTTCCCCTTCAACTCGGCCGCCGGAGGTCAGAGCATGCTGAACTCGTACGGCGTCGGCGGGGCGGACCTGGACTCCAAACTGCGGAGCGACGTGCTGGTCGGGGAGCAGGGCTCGTCCGAAGAGACCGGACTGATGGCGCCGTCCGTGGAGCTGGATCAGCTGCAGGTCAGGGCTGAAATAATCCAACCATTCCAGTGATTCCATTACAAAATCCTCCAGGATTATTATAATCTGCCTCGAAACTTCGTAAAAATCCACACAGTTCTAATCTACGCACCAGGGTTCCTGTGGACCCTTAAAATGACTTAAATCAATCTGTCAGAAGTCTTTAAAATGTGAACACTTTGTAAATAAGATGATTGTAATTCATCTCAAATATTAAAATAATTGGTAACATTTATTTTTATAAAATTCACATGCAGACAGTCCTCTCTGACATCACTTCCTGTTATTTCACATGAAAATATCTCAACAACCGTTCATCTGAGCAACGTGAAATTCGATTTCTAATATATTAATAATGTTGTCTTTCCAAAAATGTGTTCATATTTCTTACAAAAAATTTGATGTCACAGGTACTTAAAGGTTTCATCTACAGCAAATTGGGGTTGAGACCCCACTGTGGGTCCTAAAACTACAAATTTTGGGTCATTAGAGAACTTCCAGGAATTAAATTAAGTTTAAAGCTGACTGCTAAGAAGGTTTCTGCTTTAGTCAGATATGGATAAAAACAACTGGTCTGTTAGCAATATTTGAATACTTCAACCAAAAATACTGGAATTTCTGCCAGTTTCTATTTTTTTGTCGTTTGGGTTTGTGAAATTGATTTAAAATTTAATTTCACTTGGCATTAAAAAGATTCTGGCCGGAATGGTATTTGTGTTACACAATGCTACAACGTTAGCACTTCTGCTAACGGTTACACTGTCGACGTGCGTATGCTTGCTAAACACTATATTTAGCTTTAGAAGAAGACGAAGAGTGCTGAAATGAAGCGCTCAGAAAACAACAAATTATAAAAAGTATGAGAACATTTAAAACTAAACAGAAAAGACGACAACGTGCAGTACGCTTCACATCGACAATGTTTCTACACCGGAACAAAAACTGCTGCGTGTACCGAACACATCCTGAGTTAACAACCGGTATCATTCACATTACCTTTGGTTACCTAATCTGTGATAATCTGTCAGGTTACAGATGTAAAAGGAGGAGGTATATTTAAGCTAACGTTATTTGTGCTGACTAATCATGGTGACCTGGCAGGGTTTTATTAAACAGTGTGTAAGTTGTGTGATTAAAAACAAGACTTACTGTAAGTTTGTCAGATTAAAATAAAAACACAACAGATCGACAGCTTGAGCTGAAACACATTAATTTGTTATGTTTTTATCTTCATTTAAATGATACTTGGAGTAAATATTTCAAGTTTAAAATTATTTATTGAATATAGTTGGATTAATTAAATTATTTGCTGCTGCTTTTTATGATTTTAGCCTTCATTATACTGTCATATTTGTTTGTAGCCAAGCAGTCAAGACTAAATCATTAAAGGGGAATCTTGCACCAAACTAATAACAGTCTTAAAAAAATTAATATTTTGTTAGAATTAACAAGTGAACTCTACAAAACTCAACTGCAACACCCAAATATTTATATTACCCATTTTACTTATTAAATTTCTAACCAAAAAAAACATTGTTTTCCAGTCCATGACAATAAATTTAGAGCATTTAGATTTTTCTGTGATGTTAAAAATGATCAATGACAGTGTTTTTAATTACAATATAAATATTATAATATTAAATATTAAATAATTGTATTTCTCATAAAATAAGCTCAAGTAATTTCTGCAGAACATGACAGGTTTTTTATTTTCTGATTACTTGATTAATCAATTACTAAAATAACTGTTAGCTGCAGGACTACTGCAGGTCCAAATCAAATCAGTTCAAACTAAAAGTTCTTGTTGTTGTTGTTGTTGTTTACTGATTTATGTTGTCTTTAACAACCCGGCTGGATTGGACCCGGGTCCTGCAGGCTCCCTGGGACAGCACGGACCACACCAGTCCAGCTGATCACATGTTCAACGAGTCCGACCCCATCCTGGGACCCTCCGGTCTGGAGACGGGCTTCCTGGAGGAGGAGGACGAGGAGGCTCAGGGAGGAGAGCGAGCTGGGGAGGAAGGAGGAACCCTGGAGGAGTGTTTGGGCCTCCCGCCTTCGTCGCCCCCGTCCCACCCTTCGACCGGGGACTCTGTGGAGCCGCTGTCGTCGAGCTACCTCCTGTTTAAGGTGGGTCCTGACGTCCTGAGCTGAGCTTTAAATGAAACCCGAGCCTGACTCCTGGGTTCTGCTCCTTCAGGACATCGGGGTGAACGAAGAGGCCAGCGCCGATCAGACCGACCTCCCCTTCGCCCCGCCTCCTCCCCTCCACCTGTCCGACATCACCGCCCACGGGCCGCGGGACGGCCTCGCCGATCCCGTGGAGGACGGAGAGGGGCGGGGCGGAGGCGCTGCCTTCGAGTTCGAGGAGAAGGAGGAAGAGGAGATGGAGGAGTTGTCCAAGGAGACAGCAGAGCAGAGAGGAGAAGAAGAGAAACCACGGGACGGTTCGTTCAGCCTGAAATGATGAATTAACTGATCTGATGTTCTTTAAAGGGATCCAGGATTAGTTGTAACATTAAACTTTATTTGATAAACATTTATTTTAACTGTAAAATAAGACTGTAAAAATACTGTAGTAGGGCTGGGTGACAGGCGAAAATAATGATCACGATTGATTTTTTCTTATCGTCTGATCTCGATTAATATCACGATTTTTTTAACCTAAAAAGTGACTGAAAAATAATTTAACAAATAAATAGCTACAGAAAAAATGGCTGTTATTTCACTTTCACTAATATAGCAAATAGCTGTGGTTCAGTAGAACATTAAATTATTTTTGCAAGGTATTTAAAAAGGTATTTACCAAAAAAAAAACATTTATGTGTAAATCATAAAATCTGACATTAATAAAATTATCCTTTTGTAAAATTAAAGTTTTAGAATTTAATTTCACATTAAATATGTCATAAAAAACATAATTTGTGCACACTTGTCAACTGAATAGTTTATAAGCTCATTATTTAATTTTATTATGGAGGGAACCCCCAGCAATATAGCATCGGGTCTAACGCTAAAGCTAACAGGCTAAGCTGAGGTTGTTCTTCCATGAAGCAGCTCTGTTGTCCTCCATCCATATTTTCAGTTCCAGGCTGAGTCATTTCTACCTTCTCCTCTCTGTCAACGCTCTCTGGTTTCATTTAAAAGAGTCGATCATCAGATATTGTCCAAGATTAACCTTCAGGGTGGATATAGCTCGCTAGCAGCCTCGCACCGAGGACCTATCCACATCATCATTTACCCAGAATGCTTTGTGTGGAAATAAAATGTCTCTGTCCGTGTTAAAATATATTTTTAAAAATAATAAAAAATAAACAGCCTACAGTATTTTACAGTCTTTATTTTACAGTTAAAATAAATGTTTATCAAATAAAGTCTAATGTTACAACTAATCAGGGATCCCGCTGCTCAAAGTCTTTTTTTATTTTTATGTTTTTCTTCCAGGTGCAGATGATCCAACCGCTGAACAGATGGAAGACCAGGACCAGGACTTAGGACGAGTGCCTTCAGACCTCCAGGAGAACTTCGAGGATGACGAGGATCTAACTGAAGAACTTGACCCTGATCTTAGGAAGCTAGAGCAGGAGAGGAGCTTCGTGTGTCCCGAGGACCCACCGGAGGAGGTCCACGGCCTGATCTTGTACCAGGAACCTTCGGCGGGGAGTTCTCTGGACGCCGACGTGTTCATGAGCAACGACACCGAGGAGTTCGTGGAACGTAAGGCGAGTCCAGGAAGCTCAGGAGAAACGTCTGCGGACCAGGTGGACGAGATCTCTGAAGGCTGCTTGGATCCGGTGGAACCAGCTGCCGATGAAATGGAGGAGAAGTTTCACAGCATTTACTCTGAGTTCCCGGAGACCTCCTTTTCTCCTGTCCTGGACCAGGCAAAGTGCGCCGAAACCACCGGGAAGGGCAACGGAACCGGGACCGAGGTCTGCACGAGTCGAGACAGCAGAGACCATCTGATCGATCCGAGTCAGATTAAAACCGATTCGGGCGTCGACTCGGAGCCGCTGGATCTGAAATTCTCGGTCCAACCGAACGGCGGTGAGAAGACCCCCGAGCAGCTGCTAGTCCCGGTGAAGATCGAGGAGCTAAAACCAGAACCTGCGGAGGACGTCTGCCCCGACAGTTCTGAAGTCAAACACTCCTGTTTCCTGTCCTACGCCGTTAAATCCGAGGACTTCGAGCCCAAATCCGAACCGTTCGAGTTTCCCGTCAGAGCTCAGTCCCTGGAGGTGAAGCCCGAGGACCTCACGCTTCACGTGAAGTCCGAGAACTTCGACACCAGACCCGAAGCCCTCAGGTTCGTGGCCTACTCAGACGGCAAAGCTGAAGTCAAACCACCGGACCTGCGGTTCCCCGCCGGCTCAGACGAGTTCAAGACCGAGTCTAAGCCCAAAGGGTTAAGGTTTCCATCTGTGCCCGAAGCCAAGAGCGAGGTCCTGGGGTTCCCCACGTACCCGGACAGCTCCGAGGTCAAACCCGAGGCCAAGCCAGAGGACCTGGAGTTTCCAGCGTTACCCGAAGTCAAAGCTGAGCTGAAGCAGGAGATGCTGGAGGCGGACAGCACGGTCCTGACCCCGAAGCTGGAGCAGGCCGACGGGATGGTGGACTCGTCAGCAGGTCTGGTCCTGAAAGGACAAGTCAAGGAGGAGAAACCGAGTACTCCAGGTTACTGCACTCATGTGACAAGTTTAAATGAAGGTTTTCTAGGGATGCGCCGAGCAATCGACCTGAAACCAAACAAAATAAAAAAAATAGAATTGGTGCATCTCTGTTCTCTAAATGAAAGGCTCCACTTCCTTCTTGGTCCTTTAAGTCCATGAGGATAAAAACCGGTGCTGCAGTTCAGCTGCTACGACAGAGTATAAGGGCCACACAACAAGATTATTGTTTTATTATGAAAAAAAAGTAATAAAATTGTGAGAACAAGTCATAATATTCTATAATTAAAGTCGTAATACTATAAAAGCATGCAGTTATCACTGCATTAAAATGAGGAATGTTGAGCAACTTAAGTTCTTCAGTATTGCTTAAAATAAATAGTTAATTTTTTAGCTCATTAGCATCAAATTATCAGTAGCAGGACTTGGAAATTCTGCAAACGACTATATGAAAAACTGAAGCTGTAATTAATGGATGCATTGACAGATTTAGTCACGTAGTTAATTTGGATGAAGGCATATTAATCTAACAGTGATCCAGGTCATCATGGTTTACTTTATAAACACAGACACATGGTTGTACAGCAGGTGTGAGGAAAATAAAGAGAAATGAGGAACGAGAAATAGACACGTCATGTTATGACTTTAATCTCATAATACTATGACTTTATTCTCATATTTTGACTTTAATCTCAATATTGCGACTTTATTCTAGTAATATTTTGATTTTAATCTCAAAATATTACCACTTTATTCTCATAATATTATGACTTTATTCTTATAATATTTTGACTTTAATCTCATAATATTTTGACTTTAATCTCATAATATTGCGACTTTATTCTTATAATATTTTGACTTTATTCTCGTAATAATAATAAAAAAACATCTCGTCTGGCCCTGATACTCCGTTGTGAGCTGCGGAGCCAAGTCTTTGAAGTTGTATGTTTTATTATCATATCACTAAAAAGGTAAAAAGCAGTGGTCACAGTTCCACCAAAGCACTAATAGGGGAACTAATTTCCTGATTAGTGCTTTAGGGCTTTTGCTATTGTTTGAATTCGTTAGTGGATTAGCACTTGATAAATTTATGGGCTAAATTTAGAAGCACTAACTGAAGTCTTTAAATATTGATCAACATTATTGTTCACAGTTGAAGGTGAAAGCTGTCACACATTTTGTTCATGTGTGTGTCACTTATCTACAAGGTCATGTGTCAAACTCTAGGCCCGCGGGCCAAATGTGGCCTGCAGGTGACTCCCATTTGGCCCAGCAAGGGCACTAAGTGACAACATTCTGCACACAGTAAATATTGTCTCATGTTGACTGAAGAATGTTTCATGTGTCAACTGGATTATATTAGTGCTTTAGAATTAGCTTTTGCTAAAAGTTTTCAGTGAGTTTGTGCTTTAAAATTAGGGGACCTAAATATTTGAGTTAGTGCTTTAGAATTAGGGGACCTAAATATTTGAGTTAGTGCTTTAGAGTTAGTGCAACTGATATTTTGATTAGTGCTGCCCACCACTGGTAAAAAGGTTTAAAATCATTAAAAGTGTAAAACTGATGGACTTTGCTGCTGCGATGATTGGATGGACTCATGTCACTGAGCCTGCAGGTGACGTTTCTGATGTTTTCAATCTGTTTCCTGTAGTTCCCATGGTGGAAGGCTACCCCGGCAGTCCCAGGTTCGCAGCTCCGGTCTCCATGTGTGAGATTCCTGACAGCCTGCATGACAGCAGAGAGCCCACCATCGCTCAGCTGCTGCAGGAGAAAGCACTTTTCTCCTTCTCCGAGTGGCCGAAGGTACCAAATATCTCCAGTTTATTTACATTAAGACGATGGAGTTGAGATGTTCTTCCTTAAATTGCTTCCATTTATCCCCCTTTAGGACCGGGTTATCATCAACCGCCTGGACAGCATCTGCCACGCCATCCTGAAGGGAAAGTGGCCGTCGTCGAGCGAGCAGTACGACTCGCCGGGCTCGCTGGCTGCTAACTCCTGTCTGCCCAACAGCTTAGCTCAGCACCGAGCCAGTTTCCTCCCAACCACCGCCTCCGGCTCCGCCTCCGTCCTGGGCCAGCCTCGAGTCCAGCAGACCAGTCCCGGTCTGGGGTTCCCCATCCCCCCACCTCTCACCAGACTCCCCAAGGTAAGGGGCTGAGGAGTCCCTGAGTTATGTCAGCGTTTCTGTCACCTGTCTGCATTTATCTGTGTTTCATATCATGGTTCACACGAGTCGTGTCCAGTTTGCTCTGGGATCAATCTTGTGCCAGTAGGAACTGAGTTTGAATTGCTCAGATTGAATCTGAATGTGCGTTATTAGAAACCGAATGCATCGGATTGAAAATGAATTTCACTAAATTGAAACTGAATTTTTTATTAAATATACAATATTTATTCATTAAATTTAAAAACAAACAAATTCACATACAAAAAAATACACATCAAATAAAAATGAAATGAAACTTTACCAAAGTGAAACATAAATCTGTGGATCTGTGTTTGATTACTCTGCCTGGCTTTCTCAAGGACCAGGATGTGACACAAAAATCTGAATTATGGAACTGAAAGTGAAAGTAGTCAAACTGAGTTTTTAATAAACTAAAATTCATTTTCAAACCAATGCATTCAATTTCTTTTTTCGTCACTTCAGTAGAAAACGAAACCAAATATTAGTTTGTTTAGTTTATTTATTTCTTCATCATCAGTGACTTTTTTTAAG